AGCGAGTGGAATCACCTATTTGTGTGACATCCAAGTCAACTTGCCAAGTTTTTATGACAGTGTTGACTTGGATGTCACACCAATAGGTGGTTCCACTCATGTCCCGCATGCGTTTACGCAGTTATTTTTATCAAGTACTTTTCTTGGTTATTCACATTTTGTCACTGTTAGTAAGGAAAGCTATAAATCATGCTGTAGACGACCCCTCCCGATATAGAAGGCCCAGACACTGCCGAATGAGGCACTCATGCCTCCCGTTAACAGATGAACTATCTCTTCATTCACAACACCCCAGCTAGGCAGTACCGCACCGTGAAGTGCGGTACTGATGTCTGTCATGCCGCCATTCCATGACCAGTTATGACTTATTTATCCCTTTGACAAACGCCAGCCGTAAGAGAGCCAAGCTCCAATCGAGGACCGCTTGCCCGGTACTAACGATGCTCAACAGGCTGAAACATATGTCTACCGGTGGCTCTTAATTCGAAATCAATATGGGATTGATCAGAATAGTACTTATCTGTTAGCATTTGAGTTTCAAGGAATTATTTTCCAGCAGCTCCACTACATTAACCTTTCACGATTTCATATCATTTTTAGAAACATGTGGATTCGTTTTCGGATGGCATTCCAGGATAGCTTCACAAATTTCTGCTACCGCTGTTGTTGGTTGATTGGTCAAACCACCAACACTGACATAAAAACTTGACAAGTTGACTTGGTTGTCACACCAGGAGGTGGTTCAAAAAAAAATACTTAATAAAAATAACTGCGTAAACGCTTGTGTTTGAACGATGTTATATTCCACACATATGGCATCAATAGGTCTTTCAATCGATTAAACTTTTTGATGATCTCTCATACACACACTTTGTTTTATTTGAGTTTGAAGATGAAGAACGCCTAATGAAATATCCTACATGAAGCCAGACAAATAAACCAGCTTAAGAGGGCAGCCATCTCAGTATTGCCGTGCATTGAAAAACCAGAACAGCAACTTACAGAAAGTAAGTGTGAAAGATAGCGTATTATTTTATTCTAGTTTACCTGATGGCTTCTTCAAACCTGTTCAAAGTCCATTAAACAGGCGCGGCTTGAAGAAGTGACATGATTATCAATCCAAACTTTTCTTCAAAATGAATCTTTCTTTGTTTGAAGGTGGTTGACAATGTTTCGTGGTGTATTTCATCAGTTCGGACTTCCACTGTCTAATATAATATATATTACCCCGAGTCTGGTTGAGATACGTAGACGACACCTTCATAATATGGAACCATAGGAATGCAGAACTAGACATTTTCCTGAAGCACATCAACAACGTAAGTCCTTCCATCACTTTCACAATGGAAGAGGAAGTCCACAACGAATTGTTTTTCTGAGAAGTATTGGTGAAGAGGACCGACACTAAACGGGAAACATCTGTATATCGAAAACCCACTCACACAGGACAGTATCTGAACCAGAAATCTAACCACCATCCATCGACTAAGAGAAGAATCATCAAGACTCTACTGGACCGTGCCTTCAAGCTCTGTAATACAAAGGAAGGTTTCGAAAGGGAACTAGGATCATCAAAAACGACCTTCAACGGAATGGTTATTCCAGAGTGATGGTAGGACAGGCTTTAGCTAAAAGACAGCAAGAGCTGCACAAGGAAGAGAAGCCTCCACAACCAATACTTGTACTACCCTACATCAGAGGATTATCGGAGAGGATACGAAGGATTGGGTCCAAGTATAACATCAGGACATGCTTCAGATCTGGGAACACTATCCGTAGCAGCCTCACGAAAACCAGGCCACCAAACGCGGACTGCGATTCCAAGAATTGTATTTACCGGATACCCTGCGAGTGCGAAGAAGCATACATCGGTGAAACTAAGAGGCCATTGAAAGTTCGCATTGCTGAGCACAAAAAAACACACACAGCGAGGAGAAACCAGCAAATCCGGAATAGCAGAGCATGTTTGGACTCATCAACATAATATCAAGTGGGCTCAATCATCATCATGGCTTGCTGTCCGATGCTGAACGAGTCATCGGATAGCAATCATGGCTTGCAGAGGTTAAACCTTTGAAGAAGCTAGCCACTCGCGTCAGCGAAACGTCAGGAAAAAATTCAAAAAATCAACGGCTTTCAAACTCGAAAAACAGTGACACTAAAAACGTCAGCCGCGAAAGTCTAAACCATTTTGTCGATAATCAGTGGGTTTTCTTTTTCAAAATACGACTTTAAACAGAAAGACCAGCCTTCTAAAAATGCTTGACGTTCTTCTCCAATAAGGAATAACACTTCCAAAATAAAAAACATGAAATTATGAAACAGCAACAAAAATTAATTGGCGCTCCGGGGAGACTTCATTGATTCCAGTGGCTCATATGCTTTTTTAGCTGCAGGAAAACCCGGAAAAACCTGCAGCACCACATCATCTGAAGATCTTGATCTAACAATGTCCTCTCTTATAAAACAAAATGTAGGGTGTCTCCAAAGGCTCTAATGAATTCAATATATCGCCAGAACACTTTGTGACACGACTATCGTCAAACTCAAACCAAGCTGTTTTTGACCAAGGCGCAATAATGACCAGATTCAACGCCAGAACCACAGTGAAGAATGACCGCATGAAGATTATAATAGTGGTCTGCTAGATTGAAGTGTTCATCTATTTCGAAACTTCGTAAAAGTTTGGTGCTTCTGTCAGAGGTTGAGTCATGTTTGAAGATAATCAGTGGTATTACTAGATTGACTGATGCCTCAGCTTTACTTTTTTTTTGTAACAGTCAGTTAGTTTGGCGCATGTTTGGCAATATAATCGATCATATCCTGTTAAAAGTTCCATTTTTAGATGATTCAACAATTAACTTGGCACGTTTATATGTAATGTAAGACTTTATTTTAGAATATTCATTCTGTCAAAATGGTTTAGACTTTCACGGCTGAGGTTTTCAGTGTCATTGCTTTTCGAGTTTGAAAGCCGTGAATTTTTGGATTTTCTTCCTGACGTTTCGTTGGCTCGAGTGGCTAGCTTCTTCAGAGGTTTAATCATCATGGCATGCTGTTCGATGACTACCTTTTAGGCTTCGTAAAGCATATTTATGCCTTGTCAGGTATTCAGTTATATTTGCACCTGTATTTGTACCTGTATTTGTACCTGTATTTGTACCTGTACTCGTACCTGCACTTGAACCTGGAACATTAACAATCTTGCTGCCTGTTGTCCTGTTCGTTATTCTAGAATTACTCAAAATGGGGTTCCATATTCGATTGAGGTTCACTGTTTCTTCTTTTCTGTTGAAATTCTCCGTGTGTTTGTGGATCTCTATTGCCTCCCGTACCAGTCGGCTATGGTATCCCTGGTTGGGGGCAATTAGTTTTGTGTTTTCAAACAAAATTATGTGGTCTCCTTCACTAAGTGGGTGTTCTGCCACAGTTGACTTGTCCGTTTGGCCTAGTCTGCAGTTCCTTTTATGTTCTTTTAGTCTTGTTCCCATGGATCGTTTGGGGGTTCCGATATATACCTTTCCACAAGTGCACGGTATGCGATAGGCCCCTGCTGCTGTCTTTTGCCGACCTGAGGCTTCGTTGTATCTTCCTCGTGGGTTTGAAGACTGTTTCGCATTATCGAACCACCATCCGAGCCAAAGGAGAGGAGTCATCTCAAATCTAACAGAACGGGCTCGGAGAATATGTGAACCAGAACATCTGGGAACTGAAATACTTTGAAGTGACCTTAAGATCGAATGGATACAGTGCCTCCGAGACTAGAAAAGCCATGAAACCGAAGGGCACCACGGTTCAGAAAGCAAAAAAGGATCAGATGGTTGCACGCGCATATTTACCGTTTATCCCTAGGGTCACGGACATAATTGGAAAACTATTGGGCAAATACGACATCGAAACAGTCCTCAAACCCACGAGGAAGATACAACAAAGCCTCAGGTCGGCTAACAACAAAAGAGATCCATTATCAGCAAATACAGGTATAAATACAACTGATTACCTGACAAGACATAAATAGCTTTACGAAGCCTAAAAGGTAATCATCGGACAGCAACCCATGATGGTTAAACCTCTGAAGAAGCTAGCCACTCGTGCCAGCGAAACGTCAGGAAGAAATTCCAAAAATTCACGGCTTTCAAACTCGAAAAGTAATGACACTGAAAACCTCAGCCGTGAAAGTCTAAACCATTTTGACAAAATGAATATTCCAAAACAAAGTCACTGAAACTTTCTTACATCAAGCAATGATATTCATTTTGTTTCACTCCCCACTGTTACCCCTTGCTATTTCTTCACAACGGTATTATCCTTCATGGAGCCAAGTTTCTTTCAGAAAATCAAACCATTCTCACGTCGAACTATCTAATCTGCCTCAAGTAATGTTTCTTCCAGCAAATAATTTCGTCATTCCCGATCACTGGCGATTTTTTGTTTTTCTCTGGAATTTCACTGGTATCTTTCACAATTTTGTACTGAAGAAAGTATTTCGAAGTTATTGCCATCCACCAACAGAGCAAGGTAAAACCAGCGATTTTCTAATTTTTAGAATAACGATATTCAGTCAGTAAAAGACCGTTTTTTTTGAACACCAAGACAGTCATTACTTATTAATTTGAAGAAGCCATTTTGGGCAAAAACCTATAATTTAGAAATTGTCATATCTTGTGCATAAATTCCTCGGGCATGTAGGATGAAAAACTTAGGTATCGCTTTTTGCTTGTAACTTTTGTATTTCGTCACGAGCCTTCAGAAGTCGGGAATGAGAAGAGCATCACAAACAAACTGAAAATGCGATTATAGTAATTAATACAGCATCGCCATCTACTGGTATTTTTCAAAACCATCTACCAACAAATCGATGCAACACCAGCGATTTTAAACTTTCTGTCCAGTAGATACAGGTATTTTGTTTCAACGTCTCAACAAACAAAACATTTGAATTCTCTAACAGTAAAGTATATAGGGCTCATTCTATTTTTTTCTGGCAATGAAACAAAAGGAAACTTTACATCATTTAATGCTCACAATAGCAATTACAGTTTTAAGAGTACTTTTTATAGAACCTACATAAGAACACCTTCAATTCATCCTAAAATTGTTTCGCAACTTTTGTATCTGCAAATTGTAAGCTGCAAAATCTACAAAATCATTACATTCGTCAATTTGAGGCCATGTTTGTATACATCTGCAATGTAAAATTATACAAATAAATATAATATAATGTAGTAAAGGTTCAACAGTAACATTTTGTAAATACATATAAACATTTGTTCACTGAAAATAATTTTTTGCGTATTCAGTACTGGTATGAAACTCCACTGCAGTAGAAATATTCACAACAGATATAAAAATTCAAACTTTGTAAGGCATGCCTTAAGGCAGTTCGTGAATTTTATTCAAGATCAACACCAACAATTTCACTGCAGTCGTTTTTAACGCTAATATCTCTTAATATTATGGTAACATTATTTTCTCAAACATTCATATCACTGTTCGAAATCACTGACAACCTATTTGTATCTAATATCAACCTCAATATCTCGAATTTGATGCATGTCAACAAGATTCTACAAAATAAAAACGAAAATTTTATCTGATTTACGTGTGTGTGGCAAAGAATCGCTAAAGCTACGCATACACTCTAAACAAATAAATGGCTAAAGGGCAAGGCATCCAAATGCCAACATAAACGTCATCCAGCTTTAAGTACCTATCTAGTTCTAATTGAAGAAATATCTAGAAATGCCGAATCGTACTTTTAACCCAAAGAAATTTCCACCATCACGACTCTTCTGGTTTGAATAAGCAAAGAAATAAACTTGAATTCCTTAGAAATTAACCGAAAAACAGCAACATCTGTTGTGCTCTTATTTTCTCTAGTTCTGCAAATTTGTGAGCATACTACGGATTCTCTATGTTGCTTAGAACTACGCTAACTTAACTTCAACCAAAAATAGACTATATAAACATAAAAACAATCAACAAATAATTAGTCTACAAATTTAACAGAGGTCTGTTACCCAAACATGGGTAGTTCTTTTTAAGTCGTCCTCACAGAAAAACACTTGGCAGAAACTATGAACGTCCAGGTCGATTCTAATATAGAATCATACAGACCTGAAATATGAAAAGAAATCAGGCGAGATTTGACACTGAGCCAAGTGTTTTACTACAGGAACCGAATGAAACGAAAAATCAATAAATTCATTTTGCTACGATGTAATGAACTTAACACTACATGACGACTACATAATGTGTATGTTTATATACAAATGTTTGGCTGTCTCCTGGAGGAACACTTTTTCACCGGATTTAAGTAGTATCGAGTTTCGAAATTAACGGCTGCTAATGAATTGTGGAAAAGAGACCAGCTCCTTCTGCTATCTAGACGTCTTCGTACTTCGACAATTTGTTTTGTAGCATGAGGTTTTCTTTTTTCAGTCGTTCAAGTTCTTGGCGGAGACCAATGTTCTGAAAAAAATTAACGTTTATTGATGATGAACAGTAATTATTCATTATCAAAAAAATCGATAGGGATTTACATACTACCATGTTGAAAATATTACAAATTCCTATATAAGTTCAAGTGATGATGAGACTGATTATCCAGCTTCAAAACTACTATTGGACTTGTTTAAAAGTACAATTGAAGTAATTGTTTGTCTGAACCAGACCTAACCCTACTATTGGACTTGATAATACCATATTAAGACAATATAAAGTTGTATAGGAAACTGTCAACACAATAAAATAAAGATATTTGAAGTTAATTATGAAAATTAAAAAGGCGGTAGAAGAAGAACAGATCTAATGATTATTAAAAAATTCAGCTAGTGTATAATAACAATTTTATAACAGTTGTTTCACATATTCAGGAAGATTATTATAAATTTTTGGACCAATGTATCGTGGCACAGAATAAGTCACTTTTAATTTCGCAATTTTAGCACATGGAACTAGTTTTTGATTCTCGTATCATGGTGGTAAATACTGTTATTTAATATAAAATTTAACTTATTTTTGAACACATATACACACATTTTAAATATATAGACTAACACAACAATTCTGAAGGAATTTACATCCTGGCATTACCACAAATCCTTATATAATTCCAACTGATGGATAGAGACCGACAACCCAACCTCAAAACTACTATTGGACTCGTTCGAAACTATCATTGAACTAATTGGTTGTCTGAACCAGACCTAACCTTACTATTGGAATTGTTCAAATAATAGTTGTCTTCTAAAAAAATATTGGTTTTCTGATGTTGAACAGCAAATATTATCTCATTTTCTAAAGGTATTCACAAACTGGCATCCTGGAATATTATAAATCCTCATATATTTTGAACTGATAAAAAGGGACTGATACCCTAACCTCAAAATAACTATTAGACTTGTTACTTTGCTGTTTCTACTTCTCGTGAATTATGTCGTTTCTGCTAGTTGGATTTGTATTAGTTGACAAATATTTCACCATTCAGTTCAGTTCTAACAGGGTTTGTCTTGTGTATTGAATAAAAAATCACTAATATTAGTGGCAGTATCGAACTGAAGAAAAATCACACTATCAAAATCCCTGTCATATTTAATTAATGCATTACATGATAAGTACTATAATTATAGTGATCTTTCATAACAATTCATTCTAAAGCATTGAAAGATTTTCAATTTAAGGATTCGACTGGGTGTTCCTCAATATCATGCTTATATTTTTGGAGATTGTTGTTGGAATTTTGGATTCATTTCGATTGAAACATGCCAATGACAATATGGTGCTGAAGTTTCCAGTAAAAATCTTCTATATTTTGTGGAATGTGGTACATTGTATGCATCGGGAGAAAGTTTTTCAGCCATACAATGAGTCTCATTGTATTAATTCAATGAGTAAAGTGATACGCCGCTGCTTTTACCTAGGTCAATATTATTTCGTTCTATCTGAACAAATTTTGTCTCTATCAATACTAAATTCATTTGCATAGTGTTATGAAATTGGATATTATTAAAGGATTAAAAACGTATTCAGTAGGTAAGAAGTAAATTTATGATTGGGAAAATGAAAGATTACACATGAGTTATCAAATTGTGAATCCTATGTAAATCGGCAAAAAAACGGAACCATACGATGTGTCTACTGGTCCAAACAGACTGAACTTTCAATAAAGAATTACTTTTATTTTCGGAATTCACTGAAAAGTAACCTTATGTTATGATTTTGGATTGATTTTGAGAAAATCCTCAGCACTTCACGCATTCCATATTCTATATTATAACTTCAAACCGCTAAAACTCTACAACAAATAACATTAACATGTCAATTGATATAAAAATATAACAAATGAACCATATTGAATATAAAGAGGATTTTGTTTGGATCATATATTTTTTCTATGTTGGCAACTATATTTATTTGTCATTAGTGTCAGTTGTCATAAGTAGATAATTTCCGAGTTTCATTTGTTGTTTTCATTGTACTCACATTTCGTTTAGTTTACTCAATATTTATCTGAAGTAACTTTAACAATCAACGTGACAGATAAACAAAGTAGCCATCTCAGAAAAAATATACTTAAGTGCTCCAAATGAAATCCTTATATGTCATGGTCTATAGCAGACGACTCATTTTTATGTAGCTATATCTGTCTTGGAAGCAAGCTACATCTGACCGTTAGCTTCTCTCTGATCAAATGCAAGCTTTACCTGTTTGTTCCAAATGGTTTTTTTGTACTCTGTTATCTTTCTGTCATCTACTTACAATTGAAAAAAAATAAATAAACGAGAACGTGCAATTCTTATCAGTGGTCTGTTTTGAGTAACATATTCTTTATTGATGTCCCTGTGTTGTCAGTACTTTAGTTTCGTCTGTTTCCATACCTATTTTGTACCTATTTTTCAACACGGATCTTTCACTATTTTCAAATAATGGAGATGGAAAATTGTGGCAGGTTGCTTCGAGCCATAACACGTATTGAGCTGTATCGAGTGTAATTTTTATTCTTTTCAGTAAATTTTCGTTTTGAGGACACCCGGCGATTTTGAAAGAAATTTTGCGTGTACTTACGTATTTTGATGCGTAGATTATAAATCCGAAAGAAAAAAGCGGCGCTCTCCCTTATTTACAAAGTTACGGCCCTTCAAAGTTCAGAAAAGGGCAACTTCTCAGCCTTCTTTTTCACAAAATAAACTATTTAAAAACACAATCATTTATTCACTAGGTCACCTTTACACCTTATTCCTTCTTCTTTGACACTTTTCACTTCAATAATGAACATTTTTCTTATAAAAAACTTAATTTAAAAACGAATGCTTCTCCTGGTGACATTATTCTATTTTTAGGTTAGTTACTAGTGACATTTCAGAAAAAAGCGGTTGGTATTTGCCGCCGCCTACTATTTCAAATTCGTAATAAACCACCAAAAACCAATTTACGATCTAAAGAATGAAGGTAAAAAACATTTGAATTACTTTAGGAATATGGACTGCATCAGTCGTACCAACTATGCAATTAACCTTGAAAACGTAAAATAAAGAGATATGTAACCAAAAAGCAGCTCCGTACATTTTTTCAACATTTTTATTGGAAAAATGTTGTAATAAGGTGTAAAGGTGGCCTAGTGAATGAATGCTTGTGGTTTTAAATAGTTTATTTTGTGAAAAAAAAGGCTGAAAAGTTGCCCTTTTCAGAATTTTGAAGGGCCATAACTTTGTCAATAAGGGAGAGCGCCGCTTTTTTTTTGGATTCGTAACCTACGCATCAAAATATGTAAACATTTTTTCAAAATCGCCGGGTGTCCTCAAAACGAAAATTTACCCTCTTTTTTTTCAATGTTGAAAAAATACTCATTCATCAACGCCCAGTCCCAAAAACTCAAGTTCGACACATAAATACCTCACAAGGAATACGAATGACCACTAAGGGATCATTTCTAGCATTTTGCATTTTGCTAACATATAAAAGGACACCATTATCTGGGTTTTTCTAAATTCTACCATTGAAGGTTGAAGAAGGACGCTGGACCTTTTCATGCTGCATTAATCTTGGTACTGAGCCTCTGCTAGATTTGAAACTAGATTATTATCGTTTCTATATTGAAGGGGACTGGGAACCCAATCTCTCGCATATAATTGACTGTTCCATTTTAATTTTCTACTTGTAGAAGAAAAGAATAACAGTATTTTTAATAAAATGCCGTTGTACTAATACCACTTCAATCAACACAAACTTCTAAACGACAATAATTCCCCGATGTCTCTAACCACAGTTACATGTCACACTCACAAAACAACCATTCAAAATCATGGATTGATATCGACATGGCATGGAACATAATAATATCAGTGAGTGTCTAACTTTCCGGACACCGGTAAATATTTAACAATGAATAAATTACAGTATGTTTTACCGCATTAGGTATTGATGACGCATGTGTAATGATTCGTTCAGTAAAGTCTACAAACCTCCTTCTCGAGATATCCGGCCCTGAGGGCGATCTGGTTCTCCTTCATCCTCCGGGCGTCCCGAGACCTCTTGGCAGCCAAATTGTTCTTCCTGCGCCTCGCCCAATACTTGTCGTCTTTGAGGTCGTCGGGCACAAACTGTTTTCGGGACTTTTTGATGAGGGGCTGCGGTTTGAGATCCTCATCTGAAAATGCTCTCTTCCGTGGATCGAAGTCTCGACAACTCGAAGCCATAGATAATGCTTCAGAAAAAACTACATTTTAGACATTAGTATTGTGTCTTTCACACACAATAATAATTTCTCTTCGGTACCTTACTAAATTTCCTGAGGCCTGAACATCGTCGTAATCTAGTAAGGCGATAGTAGCAATGAATGTAATTGAAATTACGTTGGTGGAAAGTGAGGTGAACTAAGATTTTTCTGAAGTTGAGTAAGGCTTTCAAACATGTAAATTGAACTTAAATAACTTTTAAAAAAACTGCATTGCTTCATTGATCAGGAATGATAACTATGTGCGATAGAAAAAGTTACGGAATTCTGGTTGCTGATGTAGAAAGGTAACCTGTAAACCTAACCTAACCCTAATCTAACCCAACCTAACCTTAACTTCACCTTACTAAACCAAACCTAACCCAGATGTGGACTGACTGGAAGCTATAGTCTCCAGCACACATCCGAATTGATTTCGAGTTATTTGTAAATTGAAACGACATAACAGTTCATTGGAGCCGATATTTCTATCAATGTAGCATATACTGATACATATACTGATTTAACGAAAATTTGAATGGTAATCCTGTATATTTTTAGGCCATTTCATAAAAGATATAATTATTTTTAAAACTATATAACGCAATTGCCCATTTCGATTCGAAATAGTGGCATAGAAATCATTTTGTTCAAGTTCAATATGGTGGCACTATGACGTCATCTACATCGTCAAACTTGATGTAGTGAGGTGAAGGAGACGCAGTTTGCTTTGATTTGAAAAAAAATTCACGAATTGAGATTTTTCACTCATTCAGGTACTTTTCATTATTTTTTTGACATTTTCCACTTCATTTATACAAAAAATCTCAATAGAAAATGGCATTTTCCAAAATTCACTCAGAAGAAATTTCAAAAAACCTTGAAACTCTTACTTTTCAGTAGCACAGACAAATGAATCGCATAATTTCTTCGACATTTTTAGTGAAACAAAAAATACACTTCAACGGTGAATTTTGAAAAATACAAATTTCTATCATGATTTTTGATTCTGAGAAGGAAAATATGAAATGTATGTGAACTGGTAGAAAATTTCAATCCTCACATTTTTCATTAGAAACCGAGTAAACTTCGTCATTTGTTTTTCCCTACATCAAGTTGTACGATGATATTTCTGTATAGATGACGTTAAAATGTCGCCATATTCAATATGGTTCCTTGGAGGCCATTTTGAAAAGTAATGGTCACTTGGTGTAATCATTAGAAAGAGCATTTCAAATTATATTAGATAATTTAAAAAATATACATAGTGTTTTTCAAAATTCTTGACTTGGGACCATTCTTGGCAATCATTATTTATATTGGTATCACAAATAATCAATAAAAAAATAAAATTATTCAACTCAAGAGTTTTTCCTCTGCTCATGCCAACTCTTGAAGAGTTTCTATTTCGATGAAAAACTAGTCGAAATAGAATTCACAAAGGAGAAATTGTTAGTGCTTGCTTCTGAGGAACCATGGCCTTGATGAAACAATCAACAACAAACATGAATCTTTCAATTGTCCCAAATGGACAAGCACCCTACGAATATTCCATCTATGAAAGATTTAATCTTCGAAAGTCGAAGATGAATGAGCCTCCCCAAGGAGGCCAGTTGCAAACCCAAGCTTCGATATTGACCGCAGAACGAGATTTGTCCCCTGCATTTCACTGCAAGGCAAATAGATAATCTTGTGAGCCACCATCCAACAGCGCTGTTTCAACCCACCTAGGTCTCATCAGTGGTGCTAGACTAAACCATCAAGTTATCGACCAAGTTATCGTGTGACAAGTGTCACATAGACAGCAATGTTCATCACGGTGGTATTGAATGAGAAGATCACAATGAAACCGTAATGCAAAACACTCCAGAATATTGCGAATCAATCCACTGTGGACGAAGAAAAAATCACACGAGAGGAGCACCGTTTTCAGTGTTTTCAGGTGAGCTGTTTTTGCAGCACATCTTCTGTTTTGGCACATTAGAACTGTTGAAAAGATTAAATCTTCTGACGACTGGGTTTTATTTTTTATGAATATCATGAAATGACTGTAAAAGGTGAAAATTACGGATGCTGTAGTATGTGTCTATGAAACACAGTTTCTACTATTTCCGTTTCAATCTACAGCTAGGTATGAAATGACTTGGCTACACTGACCGTGTTAGTATGGCCTTAGTTGATGCTTCATGAATACTATAAAAAAAGGTGATATAACTTAGCTACTTAAAAAAAAAAAAGAATGACTGATATATTGCTTGTAAAATGACAAAGACCAGCATATCAGTTAGCTTGCTGCGTTTTCATCAAATTAAAGCTCCTGGTGACTTTAAAAAATATGAAGAAAGTTTTGTCCATCCTCGTGGAATCAATTACTGCATTTCTGCAACCAAAATTCAGTAAATTTATACGCAAACAGGTTATTCTAACATCTGATCAAAAAAATCATTGCTTATACATACAGTGTGTCGCACGATTGAGATTGCAAAAGACATTTCAGTAATTTGAGAAAATGTCATACTCGATAAAAAGTTTGCTTCGTTCAAAATACTCATTTTCACTTTGAATATCCACACAGTGACCTACAAACTTAATCAGATAATCTGAAGTAAAACCGATTCAAGACAACGTATACTGAATATGAAAGTAGGTTTGTTTGAAGGTGGTCGACAATGTTTCGTGTTGAATTCCATGAGTTCTGAGTTCCGACATCATTTTATATCATACTAGTACTATGTTGCTGTATCACTGCTGTTCCAATGTTTTGCCAGAATCAGAATCAACGAACTTAGTTAGGCGTGCGCAGCGTTATAGAACAGTGCTTTCAAAAAATTGTTCTACAGCGTCATCTAGTGGCGAGTTACAGAAAAAGTGATAGCCTAAAAACCTTCTCTATGAAAAATTACTTATACATGTCAAGTTTCATCACGATCGGTTGAGCGATGTACAAGTTTATCACTTATCAACCAACCAACCAACCAACACACAACCATTTTTATATTGTGGATTAGACGATGGAAGTTCGAACTAATAAAATAAAAGTTGGTGTTTTTGGGTGAAACAAACTTTTTTATCGACTATGATTTAATAGAAATAACGAAATTTCTCTCACGAACTCAATTGAATGACATCGGGCGTGAAAAAAAACATACGTGATTGATTACTTCTGAAAAAAATTAAACAATGAAAACTTAAAATACTGCCATTGCAAAGTACGGTCCTGAAGTTTTCTACAATGCGAAGCCTCGAATTATAATCCGCTCATACTGGACAAAGTTCAATTTACATTTTGTCTAGTGACGTAGTCAATAAAATAATTTGAGACAGAGTATTATGCGTGACTAGCATAATCTTGAAGGTGGTAGTTCCGAAATACAAATGAGAGGGGAATGAGACTACGAATAACCAGCGAAAAAAATTTGGTGTAGATGTAGTAACAGTTTATACTCAATTGATTCATGAAATTGTTGAACATGAAAATATTTATAATCACACCCAGGTTTCATGTTTGGTCTCATTCCCCGTGAATAAACAGTGGCGTAGCTGAATCACTTTGGTATACAAATTTTCTCATACAAATAATTTCAAATACCAATGAGATTTCAACAGAAGATGTATTGATGACTAGGCGTTTAGATGATTTGCTCGAAGGCTAAGTTCCAACTGCCTGTAGGAAAGTAGGATTATTCAGTATTTTATGCATAATAAGGGGCAAAGGTGCTAATCGTATTTGCATTATTGTGCCACGTCAATAATTTTCAGTTGAAAAAATGATCGTTCTACCTTTTATTCGGTCAATTTAGACAACCGAGGGTACACATATTCGCACCCAGCTCAAAGGTGTTAGCATAGATCAAAACACCATCATAAATGATATCTAAAAAATTCTCATCAATCCTTTACCTGGAAAAAATTTTACTAGAGTTGAAAGGTCACAAAAACGGGGTTTTGACGATTTTCAGCAGAACGGTAAGTTTCATCATAAAATTAGTTTTCACAAAAATTTTAGATCAGGAAATTATCTATAAAGAATATCCAAATACTTGTTTTCCTAGTCCTGCGGGGCTAGACGGGTTGGCCGTCCTAGTTCATCTTTCACTGCCTGATGCAGTGAAAGTGGGGCTACGTGGATGCAGAATCACTTGCGGTTCTGTTATTCCCTAACTGAATGGAATCTCGACGATGGCTTAATTCTAAGGTGTGTATCCGTGTTGAGAGGATGAATGACACTGAGCCTATCAGCTGTCTCTACGGAACATTCGAAATACCGGGCGCAATCTCGTCGTAGCATCGCCTTGTCACGGTAATGCGGGGCTCTGACGTGATTGGCCTTCTTTACCCAGCTACTCGTGGGACTTTTATGGACAGAGTAAACTTAAAAATTATTTCTGACGCTGAGTCTACAGAGGAGATGGATGTCGTGTTTTCGACTCCAACTGACCTCCCTGTAAATTTAGATCAGGAACGAGAGCTTCTCAACTCTCCAATTCCTGATCCAATAACTGAACGTAAAAAAAAGTTTGGTGGTGTAGCCAGGAAACGACTGAGTCGTATCCTCAAGAGCGGGGTACCTTATGAAATCGCCTTGCATCAAATTTTCGAGCGGCGTACGGAGAATCTGTCTCAGGTGGAGGAACAAAGTCCCCATGAGCAGAGGTGAAAAAGTCCTGTACGCTTCAATCTAAGGCATCGTCAGGTGTAGCTGACGTGCAAAAACCCTCATACGGGAAGGTTGTCGCTGGTATCAAGGTGGGAATCTCACACCTTGACTATCCTACTACCTCATTAACGATGAAACAGCAGAGCAAATACTTTTTGCCTGCCCCGCTGGGGAGCGAATCAGGTTTTCAGAGTTCGACAGAGCCCTACTCTTAACATCTGACCTGAAAGACCACTCACCATAATTTTTTAAATAAGTTTTTGAAAGCGGAACAGCAATGATAGATTATCCATCAATCGACCCCAATACTGTATAGAAGATTGAGTGGATGATACCTCCGTTTAGATCATTGAAAAGTTTGTTATGATTCGTAGGTCAATATTTGCCCCCTTGTGAAAAAAAGTGTACTCTTGTATGTTCCTGAAAATATTTTTTTCCTGCCAGTTCTGTTTGAAATACGATTTTGATAGCCCACCCTGTATATAATAAATAACCACCGACGTCCTGTGTTGAATCGATCTGCATCAGGACGAGTGTACAGAGGGGTTGAATATTTTTTGAGAATAGGTCAGCTACGCCACTGCAAATAAAATATATTTTCTGAACATGTAGTTAGACATATTTGATTCTGATTGGTTCAAACTAACTGAAGGGCAAATAAAAATTATTTTTAATTTTTATACTAATCACATTAAGAATTAGATATTGGTTTTTGAAAATCTCAATATTTATGTAGATATTGAAACATATATTGAAAAATATCAATGCGTGTCTAATGAAACCCAAAATAATCGTCTGTGATTATTTTGCATTGAGGTAGAAAAAATGTCATACATTATTCAAAAGAGGATTGTTACTTGAAACAAAGAAACGAATTAACGGATTAACAGAAAAAACAGACAGACAGATTTTTAATTCTTTCAGAGGTTCTTGAGGTATGAATGTAATATTCATTATTATTCATAGGTTCACCAATATATTATACACATTTTGATCAGATTATTTTCCTCAATGTATGAAATCTATACAAAAAAGTTAAGTTCTAGACAGCTTTTACAAAGTTCCACAGCTATTCAATGCATTATTCTTACTCAATCGCTGTAAACATCCATGTTTATGACACGTAATTCCTAAAATTGTACTTTGTGCAATTGGGACGTATTCCTGGAGAAAGCATTCCTTTATTCAATTCGAAATTTCTCACTACAGAGCTGTTTTTGTCAGCCATTTAACCTGAAACATCTTTCAAATTTTTTTTGTGTCTACACAAAAATAACTTGCAACTTCAGAAATTCATCATTATGAATATATCTTTAAAAAACGATGGAACAATAGCTGCTGTTACAAAGTTTTCCAGTGACACCAGAAAGATCAGTTACGTTGCCTCTACGAATTTTGCAAGTATATGGAATTGAAGAAATCATGTATTTGAAAATATATCTACTTGTGGGGAACGATGACGTAAAAAGACGGAAAGCCATGCTGTATTTATTTTTCATTCCATAAGCCAATACAGATATAGGACAGAATATGTCAATAGCAATTACCACACATCAACAATATCAAAACTTGAATTGAGTAAAGAGTGTAAACTTTCACGGCCGAGGATAACTATGTCAAAGCTATTTTTCGGTTTTTTGACCGAGGTCTGCAAGTTTTTATGTCTGACGTTTTGTCTATTACTGCGGTATACACTACCAAAGGTAACGGTCGAAATGCTCAAATTGTTCTCAACGCAGAAACTATAATGTTGGAATTTGGGTTTCATATCATCATTGGTGGGCATGGCTTCGTTTTGATATTGTCCACTGTAGTAGCAGACGAAACGTCAGGCATAAAACCTGCAGACCACGGTAAATAATCCGGAAAGTAGCTTTTACACAGTTCATGAATTGATTTTGATGATTTTTCTTCATTTCAAGATAAGTGCATCAACCACTAGGGTTATTAGCGCTACGTTACATTTCATATTACATTATTATTGTATTCAAATTAAATGATACAAATTGATAATTGTCAAGAATGACATGAAATTTTCAATATTTAAAGTGTCACTGAGAGTTTCTCGTAGTTCTTTCGGTATTCCTAATTCCATTTTTGCTTCCTGATACTTGATACAAATTTGAAGAACGTGTTTCACAGTTACTGCTGTATCACATATATCACAGATAGATTGTTCCTCGCGTGATGAAAGAAAATCGTGGGAAAATTTTGTATGTCAAATACGAAGTCGACAGAGGATTACCTGATGTGTTTTGGTTTTTGGTGGATGTGTCCAGGGTTCAACGGATGGGTTTATTTCATTTAGTTTCGAATTCGTCTGGAGCCATTCTATCTGCCACTAGTTTATTATCTATCATATTCTTGATGTATCTTTTCGTATCAGATGGAGTTATTTTCATGAACATCCTTTACCTATGATCGTCTATCGCTTCTTTGGCTGCAATATCTGCCTTTTCATTACCAGCGATTCCAATATGCGATGGGAACCATAATAATATTACTTTTTTCCCAACTCTTCGATTCTATACAGGGTGTAACTGAATAAGTGTAAAACATTTGAGGTGATCCCTCAGCGAAACAAAGATAGGATCTTTCATATAAAGAAAAATCATTGGAGCATCCCTTGTTAAGATACAAGCACTGAAAAAGTTACAAAATTGAAATTAACCTGACGTTTTGTATACCAAAAAGACACTTAGCCAGTAATTTATTTGGTTCACCCCATGGTTGTAAGGGGTGGTTTATTTTGGGCAAAAAACCCAAGAGAAATTTTTTGTTTAGAAATGGTAAACAAATAATAAGACAAAAAGTTACATTGGAAATAAATTTTGAGGGTTGCGTTTTCCACCCCTCACAACCATAGGGTAAACCAAATAATTGTCTTTTTGGTAGTACAAAACGTCAGGTTAATTTCAATATTGTAACTTTTTCAGTGCTTGTGAAGAAAATTGTTATACAAATTTTATGTACCCCCTTTAAGGGACTGTATCTTAACAAGGGATGCTCCACTGAAATTTCTTTATATGAAAGATCCTATCTTTTTTTCAATGAAGGAATCACCTCCTTGAATGTTTTACACTTATTTAGTTACACCCTGTATAGTTCATTTTTTATTAATAATATTATGGGATTGTCTGTATATAACTGTTGCGTACCCTTAATAGCACTCAAAGAGTCTGTTACAATCAAAAATCTATCAGCAGGATGATTTTTCAGAATTTTTCAGAAATAATAATGCTTGTAGTATTGAGAATAGTTCAGCTGTGTATATACTTGTGACTTGGGGAGGCTTGTATTATAATGTTTCGTCCGGCGCGCGGCGATACAACAGCTGACACAACTCCCTGATCTGTTTTTGTAAAAAATGTGGAACGATTCACGATTTTGCGTGTCATCCTTGCCAGAGGCCATGCTAATCTTCCAATTTTCGTATATGTACCGCCGAAGCGAGTAAGAAATTAATGAAATTAAAACACATATCAACTTAAACAAGTGGGATGATTTGTCTAGAACCAGTTATCACAATATTATCGAATAGAATTGATCAAGGTTACCTACATAAATATTAAAATTTCTGATTAGACATGTTCGCAATGAGAATGATAAAAACTATTTCAACCAATAAAATCTCCTGGACAAAAACTCCTCTGTGAAACAGAAATATCTTGCTATCAAAAAGGATTAGAGTTCTCTTTCAAAAACTGAAAATGACGTACATTTTCTCTACTAAAAGTTATGTGAAAATGATCCCTACTGCGAGTGTGGATTTCATGTATATCAAAGTTCTTTCCCAAGTTATCTTTTTGAAATGAAGACATTCTATGAATGTAGGAAATGCTTTGTGAGATGGCGAAATACATATCTCTGTACTCAATCCTCATGAAATTTCAACTATTTCAATGAGAAAGTATCATGTGTAAATTCAGCTTAGAAAATGATATTGTCACTGTTATTACTGTCTAACTTCATATTCAGAAAATTGACTCTTTTCACATACTCACTTGAATCGGCAGGTGATGGAGGATTCATGGTGTCTGGACTCATGCAATCACTGGGACTAGGAGATCGTTCTCTTTTGGGAAGTGATTGGGAAGTACTCAGTTGACCTAGAGACCCGTGCGATCCCATTCCGTCCATGGACACACCGTTTTCCGAAAGAAATTCGTCCAAATCCACGTACTACAAAAAGAACGATTAAAAAAACTGTTCAGCTACTTGAGATCCTGTGAAAAATTGTTTCATTAAACTACTAAAGAGGTCGCCTGGTGATCTTTCTTTCCCAAAGCCATATTGACGATTGCTCAAGATGTTGAAGCCTTCCAAATATTCAAGGATACGGTTTTTTTCATGATTTTTTATATCAGCGATAGCAAAGCGACTGGCCTATAGTTGTTTGGAATATTTTTCTCGCCCTTTTTGGGAATAGGCTGAAAGCTAACAGTCTTCCAACAAGAAGAAAAAATCTCTTCATTGTAAAACAGGTTGGAAAGTCTGTAAAATACTAGTGCGAGTTCATTGGCGCGCTTTTAAGTACGATGACAGGCACTTCATCAGGACCTGATGCTTTGAGCTGTTTCAAAATTGGCCTGACTAGACGTTGTCGAGAAGTAATTTGAAGCATTGTGGATTCTGGTGTGGGAGTAGTGCATGAAGCCTTTCCCAGAAAATCGACTGTGGAGTAGGTCGCAAAATGTTCAGCTAGTAGATGGTTTCTATGGTTGTTGTTGTGATTGAACCATCCGCCTGTGTAAGTGGTGGAATTGTGGACCCGTTGGGATTGGCAAGCAGTTTATCCCTGATTCTCTGATCGTGAAGCTCTTTGTTTTCATTTATTCTACTTGCTTTTGCGAGCATTAGCAAACCTACATCAAATATGAAATTGGAAAAGCCGTCACAAAAAGACCTAGAGAGCTATTGTGGTACATCTTCACGAAACAACAAATCAAGTTGCTTCAATCATCTCAATTCATCGACAGAAGGTGATATTTTTGACCTTCTGTATATCGAAGACTGACAAACAACCAAGGAACGAACGAAAGAACACCCCTCTTGTAGTGTTTTAATTTTGCGATTTCAATATCAACTATCAAAGAAGTCGCAGAAGGAGTTAGATTACCTTAAGGTCCGCTTCATAAGTCTTATCCCAGAGGTTAGGCCCAAGAAAAGCTGTTTGTGCTTCGACGGTATTCCAAAGTTCTCCATCTTCTTTATTCTTGTCATCTCCTAATATACTTCCCGCTAAATCTTTGATTGTTGTGTGGCCATGGGTGTGTGGATGAGCTGGTTTACTGTTTCCTGAAAAAAAAAATGACAAACATTATTCATCAACGGAGATAGAGTTCAGAGAAGATATCAACCAAATATTAAAAAAAAACTGAAAAATTTCAGTTGTTTTACGGTTTTTTGTTGGAAATAGTCAGCGATTTTTTTTCAGAATGCAGATTTTTAAATAATAAACGCATAATAAGTCACCGGTTCTTCCAGATACTTTCTGCAATACTTTCAGCGAAATGCCTTTCACAGTGCAAATTCTCAATTTTGGTTGGTTAGGTTCAAAGTGAGTGGGTCTCTTCAACCCTCCACCGCAACCCGCAAGGATTTATTCTGGCTCACACCTATTCACACTCGACCAAATAGACCCAGCTTCTTAACGAAGCCGATTAGTTTTTATGTTGAGTGGTCTTTCAGGTCAGATGGTAAAAGTACGGCTCTGCCGAACTCTGAAAACCTGATTCGTATATGACAAAGTATATGCTCTGCTGTTTCATTGTTAATCAAGTAGTCGGATAGTCAAGGTGCAAGATTCCCACCTCGATACCCGCGACAACCTTCCCATTTGACGGTTTTTGCAAGTCAGCTACACCTGACGATGCCTTAGATTCAATCGTGCAGGGCATTTTTGTCTTTGGTTTCAGTGAATCATCACTTGAACGCAAACTTTTGCTAAACTGCTCATGGGAGGTTTGTTCCTCCAACTGAGACAGATTCTGCGTACGCCGCTCAAGAATTTGGTGCAAGGCGGTTTTATAACGTACCCCGCTCTTGAGGAGATGATTCAGTCGTTTCCTGGCTGCAACACCAAACCTTTTATAGGTTCAGTTATTGGATCAGGAGTTGAGAAGCTCTCGCTCCTGAACTAAATTTACAGGTCAGTTGGAGTCGTAAGCTGGTCATCCCTCTCCTCTGTAGACTCGCTCCTGATCTAAATTTACAGGGAGGTCAGTTGGAGTCGTAAGCTCGACATCCATCTTCTCAATAGACTCAGCGTTAGAAATAATTTTCAAGTTTACTCTGTTCATAAAGGTCTCACGAGTAGCTAGGGAAAGAAGGTCAATCACGGCAGAGCCCCGCATTACCGTGACAAGGCGATGCTACGAAGAGAGGGCACCCGGTATCTCGAAGGTTTCGTAGAGTCAGCAGATAGGCTCAATTTTGGTAACTCTTACCTATAAAATATGTCACATTTATACAATTCCATACTCTCAACAGCTTAATATAAACTGTTATAGGCTTAATCAATCCCAATCTGAACCAGTCATGTTTAGACTGGTTCAGTTTGGGATTGATTAAGTCTATAAATAATTAATGGACAATCAAAGTATGATGATCCATTGATTATTTCGAATACACTACGTAAAATTACAGCAGATCAGGAAACATGTTTACTTTAAATTCACTAGTAAATATTACTGGAGATTTTTCCCAATACCACACCGGTATTTTAACACCTCGACAGGTTATTTGATCACCAAGTGATCATCTTCAAGAGTTTGATCTTCCTCTTGAAGATGGTGTTTCGATCACCAAGATCACTTGGTGATCAAAACACGTGTCGAAGCGTTCAATTTGACTTTTCCGTGAAAAAAATATTCGAAATTCTATAAGACTACAGATAATGACCTGAATTGAATTGTTACGAAAGAAAATTCCAAATGAGTTAGATTGAATATTCCAACTTCAATTCTGGTTTTGATGCTAATGTTTTGTCGGATCTTCCTCAGTCAATTCCCTAGCAAATTTTCGTTCATCATAACGAGTTCTTCATCAAGTCATCAGCACAACATTTCAGAGGGTCCAGAAAATTTATTGCTTTTCCTGACATCGTTTATAATTCAAATTGCATTCCCCTCATTCAGAAAAGAATATTTATTTTACGATTTCAAACACTATATTGTTATGCAAAAAGTTGGTGCTGAAACGGATTAAGGCAGTAGTTTTTCTGTATCATCATGAATACTACTCTGTTCAAAATACTAGAAACAGACCTCTTATGCACTTTGTGGTATGTCTTTGAGCTTTCTCAGTGAATCGTTTTTATCTCACCAATCGTTGGGTCTCTTCAACTTCGGGAACACGAAAAAGTCGCATGGGCAAAATCTGGTGAATACAGTAGCTGAGGCATTATAACGGTGCTCAATTTTCTGTGAACAAAAATTTACGAACAAACACTGACGAGTGAGAAGGTGCATTATTGTGATGCAAAAGCCATGAGTTGTTTCTCAACAATACCGGACTTATAAATGCAAAATAATACCCCTTATTGACCGTAGGACCATGTTGCAAGAACTCCTGATACACTACGCCACAGTAATTGAAGGAAACAGTGAGCAAAATCTTGACATTTGATCGAACTTTCTTGGTCTCTGTTCTCCTGAGTCCTTCCATTGGGATGATTAACCGTAGTTTGGATATCATAATCATATACCCCTGATTCGTCAACAGTTATGACCTTTCCAACCTAATCTTGATTGCCGTTGACTTCATTCAACAATTCCTGAGCGATACGCATTCGACGGTGTCTGGTGAAAATTCAGCAATTTTCGAACCGATATGCTGACATCCTCAGCAATTTCTCTGATACCTATTTGACGATTCTCCATAACAATTTTCCGGCCTGGGCGGCTGGGGTGGCCTGGGCGTCATTCACATTTTCTCGATCTTCTGTGAAAATATTGCACCATTCGTTAGTATTTTTCTAACTCAAAGTAGAATCACCGTATGCCATTATTAACATTTCAAGTGTTTTTGAGCACTTACTCCTATTTTTTACACAAAATTCGATGCAAATTCTTTGATCCATTTTTTATGGCTCTCACAACCTAGAAAATTCATTATAAAACAACAATAAAAATAAAATAAAAACAACAATAAAAATTAATTGGCGCTCCGGAGCGACTTCATTGATTCCAGTGGCGTATTTGCTTTTTCAGCTGCAGGAAAACCCGGAAAACCCTGCAGCACCACATCATCTGAAGATCATGATCTAACAATGTCCTCTCTCTTATAAAACAAAATGTATAGTGTCTCCAGAGGCTCCAATAAATTCAATGCATCACCAGAACACTTCATGACACGACTATCGTCAAACTTAAACCAGTCCGTTTCTTCTTTGACCAAGGCGTAATAATGACCAAATTCAACGCCAGAACCACAGTGAACAATGACTGCATGGATATTATAATAGTGGTCTGCTAGGTTGAAATGTTCATCTATTTCGAACCTTTCAAAGAGTTTCTTGCTTCCGTTAGAGGTTGAGTCTTGTTTGAAAATCATCAGTGTTATTATTAGATTGACTGGAGCCTCAGCTATACTTGTTTCCTTATAACAGTCAGTTAGTTTGGCGCATGTTTGACAATACAGTCGATCATCACCTGTTAAAAATTCCATTTTCAGATGATTTAACAATAAGCTTTGCACGGACTGGTTATTAGTCGTATTAGGAAAAGCTAGATGAAGTTCCAGAAATTCACATAAGTTTTCGGTACTTCACAACTAAACTAAACATGTTGAACAGCTGAAACTGTGTACATATAATCGAGTCGAGTGTACAAACATAAAAAACTTGTTATTCAAATGTACGCTTCCAGCGAAATTTGGACATTCATCTTATTTTTTGAACAACCCACGTATATCAATCTGTATTCTTGAGAAATCATTCTATATATAGACTTTTATATATAGACTTTCATAAAAAAATATCGAAATGGGATTCCCTGTTTGATTTCCGATAACTGACTTGGTAATTCTTCATTCAATGTAAACAATTACCGACCAATTGAAACTGACTCTGCAGAATATATACTCACCACAAAGTACCAGAAACCTTTTCTCACGATCTTGGAAAGTCCTCTTCAAATAGTTGGTTTAACCATTTCGTTTTGTATAACAATGAAGATTGATTTTTCATTAGGAAAATATTTCCACTACGGGGAGTCCCGCGAAATATGGTTATTTTTAGAATTTTTCTAGGAATATTATAAAAATATTGTGGCTTGGAATGGTAAGAGAAATTGTGCAAAGAGAATTTTATACCGCAGTTGTTCATCTGGAATTTCAACGAAAACGCTTATTATTTGCTTTTTATATAGAGTCCATTTCTATCAGAGGAAACAATTTTTTAAACTGATCAATTTTTTTGCAGTCATATCGATAAATACTGTATTTTAAATTTATTTTCCCGCATACTGGGTGATTCAGTCGAACGTGATCATCTTCAAAGAAAAAGATCATCTTCAAAGAGGAAGATTGAAACTAGAAACTAATGCGAAGCTAACCCTATTTATGGTAAACCATCCAGGTGTACCACCCATACAGGTATACCAACCTAAATTAATTTTACAATTTTGCCTTATCTATTATTTTACAATATATGTTTATATAAAACAATTTTCAGCTATATAAAAATTAATTTCACAATATTGCCTATCTGAATTTATTTTTGCAATGTGTCCTTATGTATAGTAATCAGTACGAAAACCCAATGGTGGTATGGAACTGAAATGTATTTATCTTGGTTTTTGTCCTTTTTGAAAGTCGAAGGATACGAGGAACTTTGGAAACATTTTCAAGGAACTAGGTATGAATGTGGTTTTTAAAACAAGTCATACACTACAGAGCCATTTGGGAAGTCCAAAAGACAAAGTCGAGAATTCGGAAGTGTCTGGAATTTACGAGATTGAATGTAAGGACTGCGATGCAAAATATTATGGACAGACGAAAATATCTATTAGAGTAAGATATAAGGAACACATAGCACACTTAAAATATGGAAGACCTGAAAAATCAGCAGTCGCCCATCATATTTTGTGACAAAACCATTCCATAGACTTCAGTGCATTAAGATTAGTTAGACAAGTTAACAACAACAGGCAACTAGATGCCTATGAGAGTGTAGAAATAAGTAAACACAATAATATTATGAATAACGATGACGGACATACTATATAGCTTGTTAAAATAAAATAATATTGTTGGGTTTACTTCTTACTACATAAGGACACATTGCAAAAATAAAT